GCAGGAGGTCTTGCCAAGTTGCCTGGGCTGGTCTTGAACCCTCAGGCTCAGGCAATCCACTTGCCTTGGCCTCCCAAAGTGCTGGGATTACAGTCTGAGCCACTGAGCCCAGCCAAGAATTTTTAAAATTTTCTTTAAAAATAAAATTCTTTAAAACATTTTTGTGGTATTTGTTGAAAATATTTTCTTCCAGTTCATCATTTGTTTTTTGACTTGGTTTATAATGTGTGTGTTATTATTTTCATACAAGAAGTTTTTATCTGTTTTATTGTATCTAGATTTTTGTCATAGTTAGAAAGTCTTTCCACACCGAGGTTTTAAATACCTTTGTACGTTTTCTTCTAGTATTAATATTTATGGTTTTTATTTTACAATTAGATCTCTTATCCATTTGGAATTTTCCAGGTTTAAGGTATCAGATATAGTCATTCCGTTGTTTGGTCAGCCATTTGGACTTTCTATTTTGTTTCTGGATTTTCTATTATGTTCAGCTGGTTAATGTATCTAGTCAGGGATTTTTGTGAAAAAAATATGCTACGGTACTATATGCGTCAGCATTTGGCAACACTACTGAAATTGCTTGGCTCTAGGAGGCTCTTTGAATACTTAAAACAATTTTTTTTGTAGGATTATGTGTAGGATTGCTGCAGAGTGGTGTCAGAGGAGGGGACTGAGCAAAAGAACATGGCTTCCTGGCTCATTAGCAAATCTGAAGCATCATTGTTTTTACAAGCTTTATTTTGTTGAAGTTCCTGCGGAACTATATTATGAAATAATACCTTAAATTTAAAAATTAAACAAAATAAGCATGAGAAGCACCTAACATCATTCCTCAAGCAAACAAAACAAAACACCGTGTATCCATTGACTGGTCCTAGAAAATATTGCTTAAATATTGTTAAGTGAAGATGCAAATGTGTGGGAAGCTGCAGGCAGCATGTGGAAATAAACAAATATGGGTTTGGCTGCTTGGCAGTGTGGTGATAGTAAGAAAGACAACGAATATTCTGAAATATTGTGTACAAATATTTGTACACAAGGTACTGACTGGAAACCAGACTAGGCAGGTGTCACGAAATAAGTGAGATTACATGGAACAAGTGTGCCTGAAGAGAAACACTTGCTGTTTTCTTAAATCTTCTGGCCACCTCCCCATTTACTTCTTAAGTCTCTGAACCTTCTGGTTACTGAGGGAAAGGGCTGTATAAGCCTACATGTTCACGGAAAGCTCTGAAGACACTTCTTATATTTCCCCAGACTACTAATCACAGGCACAAAGATACTTTAACACGTTAAACAGGTACATTCAGCTAGCTAAGTTTTTAAAGTCATGCCAGGTAGAATTATTATTTCTGCTATTGTTATTAGCAACTAGTAGCTGCTATAATCTACTCTCATATGGTAACTGCTGTTTTTGTATAACTGCTGATTCTATTGTCTAGGATGGTTTGAGGTCCAACTTAAGCCTCCCTTTACCGGTCTTTCCTGACCACCCAGCTTGCAAGATCTTCTGGGCACATGTAGCTCTTATAATCAGTTCTATTAATTTCACACCTACTCAGTGCTATCTTCTTAAAAAAAAATTATTAGAAGTAGTAAAATCTGATCCAACTACCAGAGACAAACTTGTTAACATTTTGGTATATTTTCTCCCAGTGTTTTTTTTTTTCCTCCTATGTATATGATTTTATAGAGTTGAGGTCATACTGTATACATAATATTGCTTCCTATTTCCCCCTTCACTTTGTTGTAAACCATTTGTAAATAGTGTTTAAAAATTACATAGTATTTCATGGAGTGGATGGATTGTGATTTACTTACTTTTTATGCATATTTTTCTCATTATTCTAATTAGATCATGAGGTTATTAAGGAAAATCACCCTGCTGTATCTCTTCTCCTTCCCTACTCCAGTGCCTCTAGAGAATTTGTATATGATAGAGGCTAAATAAACATTTTTGCTTGCTTCTGTTTTTAGCCTAAATGTTTACAGGGGCCATTGCTTTGTTAAACTCTGGTGTGTCCATGTGGCTCTTTGAGCTAAGGGTGCCATGTTTCTTAGCTTTGGCCCCCTCTCCTACCTTGGGGAGGTGAATGTCCACTCTTCTCTCTCTCTAACTTACTTTCTAAATAAACTATATTTTCCAATCTAAAAAAAAAAATTGCAGGAACTGTTTGCTATAGGAGACCCTAAATTTATTATTTGAAGCTTAATAAGAGTCATTGTTCACCCACATCTTTTCATTTAGAAAAAGGGACCCCAGGGAAATTTTTGCATGTACTTTAGGGGGGACCTTGAGTCCTCTAAAATTTTATGGGAATATTTTAGTGCGCATTTTTGCATTTTTCAGTAGTTTCATTAGGTTCTTGAAGGAGTTTCTTATCTAACAGAAAGACCCACTTGGCCAGGTACAGTGGCTCATGCCTGTAATCCCAGCACTTTGGGAGGTGGAGGTGAGAAGAGTGCCTGAGCCCAGGGGTTCAAGACCAGCCTGGCCAACATGGCGAGACCTCATCTCTACAATAAATAAAAAAATTAGTTGGTCATGGTGGTGCATGCCTGTAGTCCCAGTTACTTGATAGGCTGAGATGGAAGGATTGCCTGAGCCCGGCAGGTCAAGGCTGCAGTGGCTGTAATCATGCCACTGCACTCTAGCCTGGGCAACAGTGAGATTCTGACTCAAAAGGAAAAAAAGACCACTGATCCAGGGACTGGAGCCCATCTGGAGACAGAACTATTTATTAAACTTATCTAAAATACTAGGGCATTTCTTTTTACTTTTTATTTTTCTTGGTTTTCAGGAAGGGATGAGACCATGCAACCTGCAAAGCCATCTTTTCTTGAATATTTTGAACAAAAAGAAAAGGAAAACCAGAGCAACAGCTTTGGTAAGAGTGTACCTGGCCCACTGAAAAATTCTTCAGATTGGAAAGTACCACAGGATGGAGACTATGAGTTTGTAAGTAGTATTGGAAGTAAATGGTTATGTCTTTGGGGGTAAGCCATTTGTAATATCATGTATCCAATTCTGTCATTTCACTGAAAGTGCCTGAGCATTTTGAGACTCCTCTAACGGCCCCTGGCTGTGGCTCCTGGGCTGTAGGACAATGTGGCTGACATTTGAACAGTTCTGGAGTCCCTGATTAGTGGCATCTCTTTTGCTTTAAAAATTCTTTATTTATTTGACATTTTAATTTTCATCCAGTTTGAAATTGTTAACAGTAAGAGAAATATTCAGTCATCAAATGAAGATGCAACTGTCTAATAGTTTATTTGGGATTTTGATTTTACATGTAGGAATTAGATTAGAGGACAGTTGATACTGTTTTGTAGTATCTTCATTGTTTTGCCAGCCATTCTCCTAATTTTAGTCTGAGAGGCTCATTCTAAATTTTTTCAGGATGAATATTAAATTATTCCAAAGTTTCTTAAGAAAAACTGGGTGTGTTTTTCCTTTTCCTGCTGTGGAACATTTTCTCTCAACCAGATACTTATTAATATTCACAGAGATTTAATTTGGGAAAAAAGTAAGCTAAGGAGTCTGCATTCCTTTTTTGAATATGTCTAGAAAAGATTTTTCTCTTTAGAAATTTTGTATTTTTACATTCTTAAATTCTGAAGTTTGATACTCAGCTGTCATAATCTGTAGTTGTTTTTAAACGAGTTTAGTTTGGGCATTGGATTTGAACTCTGGGATGCCTTTTTAGTCCCGGCTTTCCTCTGCTCTGCTGACTGGCCTAGAGGAAATGAAGTCATTCTTCCATAACTTAATTTCTACTTTTGTAAAATAGCAGGAGTATCATAGTTTATGCAACTAATGATAGAGCTCTTTTGAGGACCAGAATAACTCATCTAAGATTATTTAACTGACTCGTCACTGAACTCATGCTAGAACACAGGTAGATTTGTTTTATTATCTATTCTTTCACTTATTTAGTTTGTTAAGTTTTTTTTTTTTTTTTTTTTTGAGTCAGGGTCTCACTCTGTCACCAAGGCTGGATTGCAGTGGCATGATCACAGCTCACTGCGCCTTAAACTCTTAGGCTCAAGCAATTCTCCTGCCTTAGCCTCCTGAATAACTGGGAGTCTAGGTGTGTGCCTCCACACCCGGCTAATTTTTTTAGTTTTTGTAGAGACGAGATCTTGCTATGTTGCTTATGCTGGTCTCGAACTCTTGGGTTCAAGCTGTCCTCTCACCTTGGCCTCCCGAAGTGCCGGGATCACAAGCTTGAGATATCACACCCAGCTTATTCAGTATTTTTTGAGTGCCATCATGTGTTTGACACGATTCTGGGGATATAGTAGTGAACAGAACAGGCAAAAACCTGTCACTCATGGAAGTTTCATTCTAGAAGAAAAATAAGTAATATATTTAATGTGTCAGATTGTGGTAAGTATTGTGGAAAATATAAAGCCAAAGAGAGGCTAGGTAAGAGAGAGAATCTGTGTGCGTTTAGCTTTTTAAAACTGAGTCATCAAGGAAATCCTCTTAAGTGAGAAGATGAAAATGTAGACTATGTGAATATCCATGGGCAGAGCTTTTTAGGCAGCGGGAATAGTAAGTATAAAGATCCCAAGGCAAGAACTTAGGTGATGTGTTTACAGAAGGTGAAGAAGCAGTATGTCTTGGAATGGCATCAAGACAATATATAGCAGGAAATGGTGTCAGAGATGTAATGGAGAGCTAGATAACACAGGGTTTTTGTGTAATAATAAGGACTTTAGCTTTTACTCTGAGTGGAATGGAAAACCATTGGCAAGAGGTGACTAGATCCTATTTATGTTTAAAAAGTATTATTCTTATTGCTATATGCTAATATATCATAGATCTGTAGAATTTCTGAACATTCAGTGATTTTACCTACTATACAAAGGAGGCCAAATATGGGGCACACCTACTGCTATTTTTCTCTTCTAGGTCTGTGGCATCCATCTTTTCCACTGAGTTAGAAATCAGCTTCAGAATCCTTTTTAACACAGTGCTCTAGGCTGCCATTGTTAATCAGTGTAGACTTATGAGATCTGAATTAATGTACTTACTATTCCATGTTGTCTATTTAGTTGTCTTCAGCATATTTGTAAGATTGATTTTTCTCAGTTTAGTGAGTCTTTAGGCAAAGATGTCTAAGAAACCATTGGGTATCAAGTCACATCTTCACTGTGATAGAATGCTTAAGAATCCTCAAATCTGTACTTCTAGGTCTAGTTTCTTTTTAAAAAAAAAAAAGTTATAAAAGTGAATGATTCTGAAATCTCAATCACTTTAATTCTTTTTTATTAACATTTTTTTGTTATATAATAGTCTGCATATTTTTGGGGTACATGTGATATTTTGATACATGTATATCATGTGTGATGATCAAATCAGGATAATTGGAATATCTATTACCTCCACCATTTATCTTCTGATTTTGTTGGAAACATTACAAATCTTGAGCTGTTTTGAAACATAAAATAAATTATTTTTAACTGTAATTTCCCTACTGTAGTATCAAATACTAGAATTTATTCCTTCTATTTCATTGTATTTTTGTTCTCCTTAACTAACTTCTCTTTATCTTCTCCTACCCCCTTTCACATCCCAGCCTCTGATAATTAGCAGTCTACTCTTTACCTCCCTGAAATCCACTTTTTTAGCTTCCATATATAAATTAGAACATGCAATATTTGTCTTTCTGAATCTGGCTTATTTCACTGTAATGTGTCCTCTACTTGCATCTATGTTGCTGCAAATGACAGGATTTCCTTTTTTTTTTAATGACCAAATAATATTCCATTTCCTTTTTTCATTCTTCTGTTGATGGACACTTAGGTTGATTCCATATCTTGGCTATTTTGAATAGTCCCAATAAACATGGGAGTGCTCTTTCTTTGATATACTGATTTTTGGATATATACCCATCAGTGGATTGCTGGATCACATGGTAGATCTATACCCATCAGTGGAATTGCTGGATCACATGGTAGATCTAGTTTAGTCTTTTGAGGAACCTCCGTACTGTTCTCCATAGTGGCTGTGTAACTTTATATTTCTATCTCTGATGTACGAGCGTTCCCCTTTACTGAATCCTCATCATATGTCATTTTTTTGTCTTTTTGTTAATAGTCTTTCCGATTGGGGTAAGATGATAGTTCATTGTGGCTAAATAGTGCTTTGATTTGCATTTTCCTGATGATGAGTGATGTTGAACGTTTTTTCATGTACATGTTGGTCATTTGTCTTCTTTTGAGAAGTGTCTTTGCAGATCTTTTGCCCAACTTTAATCCTAATCATTATTCTTGGATGAGTAGCTCCAATATACGAAGACTTCATTTCTCTTTGCCCTAGTTTTCACATACTAAGATTACTGGCAAAGCACTTGTTTTGTTGGGCAAGCTACTTATCCAAAGGGTCTTTAGAGAGAGTCCTTTTTATTTTGAAAGTAGATGACTGCAAGAGGGAGTGGGCCCGTGTACACAGTGAATAGGTTAGCACGTTTCACAACCTGTGTTACTCCTGAGACTCTCTTCTAAATCAGAGATCATAAACTGGCAACATCCAGCCTACAGATCTTTTTGTGTGTTTGATACAGAGTTTAAACTTTTAAATTAAGTTACTTATGTTTAAAACTTAAATGTTGGCTTTCAGCTTTTCTCGAAAATATGGGTGACCTGGCTACATAGAGACATACATTGTTGGATGATGATTATCTGGAGCTGAGTGGTAGCTTCCCTCTTTGAGTATGACCGCTTTAGTTCTCTGCAATATCTGGCCTGCTTCACTCTATTGTATTAACTGTCTGACTTGTCTGGCACTTAGGGGCATTTGGTATTTGGGCTCTTGCTCTTAAGTCATTTGGATTTGTTTATGTTTGAGCCAGCCCATCCTGATATATAAAATTCTACTCTATTTTTACCTTATGAATTTTAAGAGAATTAATTTTAAAAATTCTCTTTTAAAAGAATTTTAAACTAAGCAATGAAAAAAATTGAGGTGGAATGTACATGAGCTGCTCTATCAAGAAGTCCCAAAGGTCAAAGGAAACTGTCTTCAAAGTTGATATTCTTGTTATGTAGCTCTTACCTTGATCCCAAAGCACGCATTTGAAATAATAGTCTAAAGCAATGGTTCTCAAAGTGGTCCCAGACCAGCAGTGTTAGCATCACCTAGAAACTTGTCAGAAATGTAGTTTTTCAGGTCCCATCCCCACCCCAGATGTATTGAATCAGAAACTCTGGGGACAACACATAGTAGTGTTTTGACCTGCTCCTTCAGTGGCTCTAATGGGCTAAAACCTGGTATAAAAGGTTTAAGCGTATAGTACATCTTTTTTGGTTTTTTGAGTTGGGGGCCTCACTCTGTTACCTTGACTGGAGTGCAGATTGGCACAATCACGGTTGACTGCAGTATCAACCTCCTTTGCTCAGGCAATCCTTCTGTCTCAGCTTCCTAAATACCTGGGACTACAAGTGCATATCCCCATGCCTGGCTAATTTTTAAATTATTTTTGTAGAGACAAGGTTTTGCTATGTTGCCCAGTCTGTTCTCGAACTCCTGGGCTCAGGCAGTCTTCTCACCTTGGTCTCCCAAAGTAATGGGATTACAAGGGTGAGTCGCCACATCCTGCCTAGTATATCTTATGTGTTTCTTCTTTCTTTCTTATTAGGTAATATAGAAATTCAAAGACAAGTTGTATCCATATTTTATTAGCATTGCATGATTTTTAAATTTCCTTTTATTCCCCTTTTGAATTTCTTCTACTCTTATTGGAGTTACCAAAGAAGTACATAAAATATGGAAAATGTGCCAGGCTCAATGGCTCAGCCTGTAATCCTGCGCCTTGGGAGGCTGAGGTGAGTGGATTGTCTGAGCCCGCGGGTTTGAGACCCACCTGGGCAACTTGGCAAGACCTAATCTCTACAATAAATCAAAAATTAGCTGGGCATGTTTGCACGCGCCTGTAGTTCCAGCTACTTGGA